GGGCTTCGTGCAGCCGGGGATCCCGGTGTGGCTCTACGCTCAGCATCGGAGGCGTCAGCGGCGCGCCTCGAGTGCCCTCCTGTGGCCACTGCCGGGAATTGCGGCCTGAAGGCTTTCACTGGAAATGCAAACGTTAACCTGGTCCTTTTTATCCCATGTGGTGGACTTGTCGTTAGGGAAAAATCTCTTGGGCTAAACTACAGAAATGGCTTGAGGAAATGTTACAAAAATCTTTAATAGTTAAACCTGAAGTCTTTTTATTAGGCATTGTGTCTGATGACGTTGACAAACAGGCAACCTATTTGATTTACGTGTAGTGATGACTGCAGCAAGGATTGTATTTGCCCCACATTGGAGGAGTGAAGAACCACCTTCTGATGAACTGATTTTTAAAAAGATCCTGGATTGGGCTGAACTGGACAGGCTGACTTTGTCTCTGAAGGAGAAAGAGGATACATACTTCTGTCAAACCTGGAACTCTTTTTATTACTGGCTAGAGAAACGGGACTGTGCGCAGATTTGAATATGTCTATGGATTGGTAGAAAAAAAATGGGGGGGGGGCTGACCTGTCCTGCCCCGCAGGGTCGTTGTTGTGAGCATCAAATTGGGCCAAGCATTGTGCCAGCCGCCTTGAGCTTCTCACAAGAGAAAAAGGCACGCTACACATGGCGTATACACGAGCCTCTGTCTGCACACATTCTGCACCTCTCGTAATGGTGATCGATAATAAAGCAGTAGCCTTTTTAGAGACTTCAAGGTCCAACAGCCCTCGAGAAGACACGCCTTCCACTCAGCAGCCCCCGCTTTCTGCAACAGCGCCGCAGATGCATTTGCACACTCAATGCAGGGCTTGTCTTGTTGGTCCCCGACCTTTCCTCTGGTAGTTCATTCTATTTTTCTCCCACCATTTTAATGTATCATTGCTTTTAAGCGTGATTTTATTGTGCATGGCTGGATGCTTTGCCATTTCATCAGTCCTTGTTGTAAAGCGCTAGTAACGGGGCAGGGTATGAAAGCTGACTCGTGACACCGGGCCTGTGTCGCGTAGTCCACAGGGTGGGCTGCAGCGGGCAACGAAAGGGAAGGGCAGGAAGGCCCCTTCCTCCGGCTAGCGCCCTTTCTTGCCGTGCCGCAGTTAGGACACGTCACAGAGCTGACGCGGCAAAGTCAACACGACAGGAGCCCGGCAGGTGAGAGCGGGAAAATGAGGAGGGGTTCAGAATCAGCAAAGCGTAGCACACAGGGAATCCGCAGTTTACAGCAGGGGCATGAGTCTGAAATCACACGGTGACAGTAAACGCCTGAACCCAGTGCAAAATAAAGCAAGGGAAGTCGGCAGAGGTGGGATACTGAATGGACTCTTTGTACTTACAGTTTAGGAGGAAGAGGTTAAAATAAAATCATTCACTAACAAGGGGCCATCCAGCCCCAAAGATATATTACAAGTTCAATGAATAAAAGCTTATTTGAAAAGGAAACGTTCAGCAACGTTGAATTTACAACTTCGTTGTGAGGGGTCACCCCCGCCCCACGTCTGCCAAAGGCCACCCAAGCTCACAGTGCGAATGTATACAACTCTGCAGGCTCGGTGACGGTTCGTGCAGCGGCTCTCAGACACAGGGGCAAAGGCAGGACATCCCTGAGAATGACAGAACCTGACGCCAAGGGCACGGCTCTCTAATCTCATGAAGCTCGGCCGCTCCAGTGAAGCTCTAGTTACACCAGCTCAGACCACATCCTCAGGTCCTACGTGGGCCTTTGTTTTTCTGGGTGGCTCCAAGGTGAGCGAGTTCACAGCCAATTTTAGGCCTCACCAGAAAACCTCACGCCATGATTCAATACTAATTTCTAGAGATGCGGTGGCACAGATCGGATGGCCCGACAGAGCAGCTCCCCTTCAGATTTGAGATACGGGCCTGTGTTTCAGTGGGACAAGGTTTATTTCGGCGAGGGCTGAAGATTTCTGCCTCGGGCAAAATGACATGAGAAGCTGCAAAAATAACCGCCGAGGAAAAATCGGCTCCAGAGCAGGCTTCACACCGTGACGTTCACTTGCTCGCTTTCAACGAATCACTCAGCAGGCTGCAGAGGAAGTCCCCGCGTTCATCCAGGAGGGCGGTGGGTCCTGTCTCGGACTCCATTCAGGTGCGATGCGACCCGTGGGTCCCCCGTTTAGACGGCGGGTTTCTCCTTCTCGGCACGGCTAGCGCCCCGCCGACGGTCCCACGCAGCTCCTTCCTGGCATCGGCCTCACGAATGACGGGACTGCCAGCATCTCCCTGAAAGGTCAAAACGTAAGAGGGGTGGTTAGTATTGTCCAGTCGTCATCAGCACAGGCTGCGCAAAATCACAGGCTGGACAGCGGTGGAGCAGGATCACGAAGGGTGAGGGAAATGAAGCGCGGTGGAAGCCTACGCGTGTTAAGCCACGCGTGTTCCCCCAGCCCGTCGCGGGACCATGGGAATTGCAGGCGCTCTTCCTGCCTGCACACGTGGGGGGCTGCGCCCAAAGCAGTCTGGAGGACTGTGGCACTGCTGTTTCTCTATCTGGGGGGGTGGCCTCCTTCTACCTCCCGGGACCTGGTGCACGGAAGGAGTGACGGCAGCTTCGGCAGGTACGTCAGGGAACCTGTCCCCGCCCAAGTCACTATTAAAAGGATGCCACGTCGGCAATGTCAATGGGAAAGATTCAAGGGAGGTGCNCTATCCCCACCCAAGTCACTATTAAAAGGATGCTACATTGGCAATGTCAACGGGAAAGGTTTAAGGGAGGTGCCAGGGGGCATCTTCCTCACACGAGCTGCGTCCGCAGAAACAATTCTGATGCCGAGGGCTTTGGCAGCAGCACGTCAGACACTCACTTTGCGTGAATCGGTCTGTCTGCCGCTCTCCATCTCCAGCAGAGAACACGTCGTCGATCACGGTCTGATGCTCGTCGTTTGTCTGATGAATGTTCTGGGAGATCAAGTGCTCAGTCGGTGTTTTCGGGGCCCTGGAGCAGTCAACGCCAGCTGCAAAAAGAGACGGGGCCTTCGTGTGAGACTCTTCCCGGCGCCCTCTGAGGGGGACCGTCTACTGCATGGGGGAAGACAAAGGAAGAACGTCAGCCTCTACCCCACCAAATGATTTCATGCTCAACATTGTGCTCCCAAATTTGACTCAGACAGATGGCCCCCATCAAAAAACAAAGATTGGTAAAACTGCATGAACATTGAGAACCGAAGGGAAGGGTTTTCTCAGGCGGCTCTAGCTTCAGGAGAACGACGCTGCCACAGGCCATCAAGCCACCCTTTACATGAAGAGAAAGAGATGGAAAATGGATGTACTTACTTCTGCATTCTCTTCCGTAGCCAGAAACTTCGCACCAGAAATTCTCTCTCAGCGACGGTCCTTGAGATGGCAAACAGAAGATTTTGACGGCGTGGGTCCCTCAGGCACGCTGGCCAAAGGAAGATCCGAT